ACAGTACCCCAGGTATGTGCAAAACAAAAGTCAACATACAATTATTGACAAACACAAAAGAAATATTCGTTCCCAAACGACCAGTTCCTTTCGCAGCAAGAATGGAAATTGAAACAGAACTCCTCAGATTAGAAAACGCAGGAATATTCACACCGGTAGATTCATCGAGGTACGCAGCGCCGATAGTGGTCAGCAAACGTAATGGAAAAATTCGAATATGTGCAGACTATTCAACAGGACTAAACTCAATAGTAGAACCTAATCAGTATCCATTACCAACACCGGAAGAAATCATGTCTGATTGCCACAACTGTGTAATCTTTAGTCACTTAGATCTCTCAGACGCATATTTACAAGCCGAAGTTGATGACGAAAGTAAAGAGCTTCTCACCATCAATACACACAAAGGTCTGTATAAGTTCAACCGTCTAACCCCAGGTATAAAATTAGCTCCGGGAGCATTTCAAAGGATCATGGATAAGCTATGCGCAGGCATAGAAGGAGCAAAAGCATATATAGACGACATCATGTTATCAAGTCCATCTATTCCGGAACATAAATCCAATTTAAACAAGCTTTTACAAAGAATTCAAGATCACGGATTCAAGCTGAAATTTGAAAAATGCCAATTCTTTCAAAAAACAAATCAAATATCTAGGACACATAATAAGCAAAGATGGAATCAAACCTGACCCAATCAAAATAGCAGCCGTTCAAAATCTTAAAACACCAGAAAACGTCTCGGAAGTAAGATCGTTATTAGGCTCTATTAATCATTACGGGAAATTTGTAAACAACATGAGAACACTACGTAAACCTCTTGACGATCTACTAAAAAAGGACGCCAAGTTCGAGTGGACGTCACAGTGTCAAAAATCATTAAACGACTTTAAGAGCATCTTGACATCAGATCTTCTTTTAACGCATTACAATCCAAACTTGCCCATACATGTAGCAGCCGATGCATCATCTCACGGAATCGGCGCGGTTATCTATCATATGTTTCCAGACAACACTATGAAGGCAATACTTCATATTTCCAGCAAATCGTTTACAACGATGAGCCCTTATATTACTGGCTTACAACTTCGAAATTAAATACACAAACACAAAGAACTTTGGTCACGCTGATGTATTATCAAGATTAGTCAACAATCACGAAAAACCCCCAGATGACTTTATAGTGGCTTCAATATCATTCGAAGAAGACATACGTAACGAGGTAAATGAAACTATGTCAGTTCTCCCAGTATCATTTAAAATGATCGTCGATGCAACAACAAAATACACGGATTTACAAATGGTCCTCAAATACATTCAAACAGAATGGCCAGAAAGCAAGAAAAATGTTAACCCATCAATAATTCAATTTTTCAACCGCAAGGAAAATCTTTCAACGTTCGATGGTTGCATTCTTTTCAATAATCGTATAGTAATTCCTAAATCATATCAGAGACAAATCTTACAACAACTTCACAGACGACACTTATCAGCAGAACGCAGCAAAGCCATCGCCAGAAGTTATGTTTATTGGCCAAACATCGACAAACAAATTGAAGACTTTGTTCGGAATTGCAAAAATCGTCAACATGCGGCAAAAAGTCCAGTAAAAACAAATCTTTGCCCATGGCCATTAACTTCACACCCTCTTGAAAGGATACATATAGACTATGCTGGTCCAGAAAAAGGTAAATATTATCTTCTTATCATCGACTCGTATTCAAAATATCCTGTTATCTACGAGACTACAATGACAACCACATATGCAACATTAAAAATGTTAAACGAATATTGTGCACTCTTCGGAAATCCTGAACAATTAGTCTCGGACAACGGAACACAGTTTGGTTCAGAACAATTTGGGAAGTGGTGCAGCAATAAAGTCATTAAACACACAAGGACTGTTCGTTTTCATCCAAGTTCAAATGGTCAAGCCGAGCGTTTCGTTGATACACTTAAACGTGCATTAAAAAAACTCGAAGGAGACGAAACGCCTACGGAATCTCTCCAAACCTTCCTAGAAGTCTACAGATCCACACCAAATCCCAATTCACCAGAAGGTAAGTCTCCAGCAGAATCTTTCATCGGAAGAACAATGAGAACGGTCTTCGACGTTCTAAGGAAACGACAATCGCCTGAGTATAACGTCAATCTCAAAATGGAACAGCAGTACAATACCAAACACGGTACCAAAAACAGAGAGTTTAGCAACGGAGAATTGGTCTATGCAAGAAACTTCAAAGGAAAGAAAGGTTACTGGACAACAGGCGAAATAGTCGAGCGTAAAGGTAAAGTCATTTACAACACTCTAATCGACGTTGGGGACAGAAAAATTCTAGTACGAGCTCATACTGATCAACTTCGACATAGAGAATCGGTAGAGTCAAGCAGTCAAGAACGACAAAAACTACCATTGGACGTACTACTTGAAGAATTCGAAATCGCTTTGCCTAACCATCAAGAACATTTTGCAACTTCAACAGGTTCACCAAACGGGACACCTCAAAGAATAACAAGTCGCAGACAACCAGTCGAACCTATTTCAAAATCACCTTCTCATCTTAAGGAGGGAGACGTTGTGGCAACCCACATTTATAATATGGCATCTCATGTTGCAACATCCTATACGGCAACGCTCATATAATAGGACGCCGTGCTACCGCCATTTCAGCTTGCTCAGTCTTGTTCTGTCTGTCACTCGAGTCTGACTCACTACATTGTAACTTCTTCTTTTTTTAAATTAGTAGCTGTGAACGCTCATCATCCAATAAATCTTTACACCTTTAGTATTAACAAACATTGGCTTTTATTTCAAACCATAAAAGCACAACATTAACTATAGATCTATCTCGCTTCCTTCTCCATGTTACAAACAAATGCACAATGACTTAATACCCTTACCACTATGTGGTGTAGGTTATAAAAAAGCTTCGCTTGGATCATGCTCAAGTTTTTAAAAAATCATCTTCTTTTCGCTGTACTTTTCAAGTATTAGCCAGTTAAAAAGTTCGGTGCGGCCGAACTTTGAATTTTCAAAAAAAAAAAAAGTTAAAAATTCTGTTAAATTCTTAAAAATACCGAATATAGCCGTTATATTGGGGTCTCTACGACGTAAATCTACATAGGCTTTGTTTGTCATAAGCCATTACCATATTCGAAACTTGAAATAAACGGTGAATAATATAGGTAAAATCATCAAAATACCGTATATTGTGAGGTACCCTTATATCGGAGCTATACGAAGACGTGGACCTACATAGACAATTTTCTGTCACAGGCTGTAGTATCCATTTCGAATTTCAAATACCAATGTTGAAACAATTCCGGGGAATAACTTCGCTAAAATCGTCAAAATACCGAATATCCGGAAGTACCGTTATATGGGGACTATATGAAAACGTGGACCTATATGGCCCATTTTCAATACCAAGAGTCCTGCGGGTATAATATACATTTCAGTAAAATTTTATCAATCTACTTTAATTCGTTCCATTTACGAACTGGCCTATTGGCAAAATAAACATGTGTGCAAAATTTTAGCCTTCTATCTCAATTCTTTCGAAAGATAACGTGATTACACCGACATCGCTAAATCGACTTAGAAATTTTACGCTGATCACGAATATATGTACTTTGTTGGGTCTGACTTGAGTATTTCGAGGAGTTACAAACTGAATGACGAAGTTAATATACCCTCCATAGTATGGTGGAGGGTATAAAAAGCGTATAGATTTTTTTAGTTAAGTAAAAATCACGTATCCAAAATAAAATCCAGCACACGTTTTTTTTCGAAAATATTTTATGCAGTTATTGTAAATTATAAACCGTTATAATACATACGACACAAAACATCCTAGTGGAAGAGGTGGAAGATGTTGCGGCCGCAACATGGAAAATATGAAACTGACCACATACAGTTGCACTATTTTAAACGAATACAGTTATAGTTTCTGTACTGCTATACTGTCCTTCAAGATTTGAGCCACATTTTCCAATCGTATTGTCTGTGTGTGTGGATTTTCAAATCATCAAATCAAATCATGTGGGTAAAATCATAAAAATACCGATTATCGGGGGGTACCGTTATATGGGGGATATACGATATCGTGGACCTGTGTAGACAATTCTCTCTCAGGGGGTGAAGTACTCACAAGGAGCTACTTGTGTGGGTTTTAAGACAATTCCATTGAAAAGTGTGGCTAACATCATCAAAATATCGAATATCGGGGGTACCGTTATTTGGGGGCTTTAGGATATCGTGGACCGATATAGCCCATTTTGGAACTGCAGACAAAAGACTGATCTGTGCAAAAATTTAGCTTCCCATCTTTATTCGTTCTGACTCTAGCGTGATTACAACAGACGGACTGACAGGGCTAAATCGTCTTAGCATTTTACGCTGATCAAGAATATATATACTTTGTTATGTCAAAAACTATTATTTCGATGAGTTACAAACGGAATGACGACCTTAATATACCCTCCATACTATGTATGGTGGAGGGTATTATAACGTTTTAAAAATGTTTACTTTATTAAATTTCCACCATTGTAATATTTTCCATGTTGTGAACATTAAACTTTTAAATAGTTGAGAAAGTGGACGCAAAATTGAATTTTTTTAAATGGAAAGTAAGTTGTTTAATAGTATAATACAATGTTAAATGCTTATAAACTCAAAAATAATAATAAAAAAATATTTACATTATTGTCTGAAATTTGTAAACATTTTTGCGTGGTCCCAATGCAGCTGATGTTACTGGATAATTTTTGCTGAGCAAATTTTTCAGTAAAATTTTGAAAACTCTCAGTAACTCAACTGTGAAAATTTCCGTTTATCATCGTTCCGCCTTTGTAAATCATCCACACAAAAAAGCTTATGCAACGGCAAAACGCTAAAAAAACTGTGAGCACAATACTCTCAATTTAACTAATTAAAAATGTTAATACCTTACTGTGGTGCCTTTTTTTTACATGGTCAACATTTAGTTCATATTTACATTTTAATTGAATTTTCCGGTTCTTCTAATATGTCGCAGGCATCCTTATATTGTTTTAATTTTAGAAAAAGTTCTGCTAAGTCCAAACTCATATTAGGGTGTATTTGAATGGCATGCTGGTAAAATGCTATAGCCTTTGTATATTGATGAGATTTTATATAAACACGTCCCAATTTATTAGCTAAATTCGAATCCTGTGGGTTCATCTCGTATGCCTTCTGGTAGGCGTTGACAGCCAAAACCGGTTCTTTTGGAAATAAACGATATTAAAATTTATTGAGAATATGTTTCCTTATTATTTACCTTGTATTGACATATATGCTTTTCCCAATATCAAATAGCTCTGAGGCTCTGGACATGACTCAACTAGTTGGTTAAAACATTTTGCAAAGGCTACGCGATCCTTCCGGTTGTGAAGATGAATATTTGCCAAGTTAGTTTTGGCCTTAAAAAATTATGCATATACATATGTTTATTATACATGTACATAGATTCGGTCAATCATTTGAATAAGAATATAAGCACCTGTATAAAATAAGATTGTCCAGGCTGTATCGCTGACAACAACTCAATAGCTTTGTTGACGTTGTCGTTTTGTAACATAAATTCAGCATGTGCAATTACTAAACGGCCCTCCTCTGTAGTATTGTTGAATTCCTCCATAGCAAATTGTAATAACCGCTCACTCTCATACACACCCTGCGTATCACCTATATCCTTATATGTTCCAATAAGTTCCAAATACAGTGTGACTCTATCTGCAACAGTAAAGTTTTTTTCCGGTCCTCTTTGGTGGATCTTGCTCCCAAGCGAAGTTGATTCGTTACCCAAGATATGTATTGCAGACATAAAGCTTTTTTGAGCTTCAGAGTATTGTTGTTGTTGTCTCTGTGCAATACCCATTAATAGATAATATTTCGGATCCTCACGCACAGCAAAATCATATGACAAAGCCATTTCCAGATACTGTAATGCTTTAACATACTGATGGTTGTATATTTGAACTTGCGCTAAAAGCAAGTACGCATCCGTAAAAGTGGAGTCAATTTCATTGACAATTCTTTGCAATAAGGAACTTGCCGAATTGATTTCACTGCACAAGAGATGTACCTTTGCACGTGCAAAATTTGCATTAATATGCGCCGGGCAATATTTAAGAAGGAGGTCCAATATTAAAATGCAATGTTTTAACGTTATATGCACTGTGTCTTGTATTAGGTGTAAGGATGGTTTAATATTCATTTGTAGCGGCGAGTGTCTTAAAAATTCTGCTGTTATTTGAAGTAGAAACTCCGGATCTAATTTCAAAAGATATTCCGGTCCAAACAATTCACCTTCCAAATCCCGTAAATGCTTCTCCATAGCTTTCGTTAAATATTGAATAGAATGGTCAGTTTGATTAGAATATTTTGCTTTTAGAAACAACAAGAATGGATGTTCTTCACCAGCAAACTTGTCACACAAATAGTCAATCTGTTGGAGAATTTGCTCCGAACGTCCATTTTCAAACATCTGACAAAGAGTTAAACCACACAAAGCGTAAAAATTGTTGCTATCCGCTTTAGTGGCAGATCGATAGCAAATTCCAGCTTCATTTATGTTGCCAAGTAAAATCCTTTGATAGCCCAATTCCACGATGCAGTCCGCGAAAGTTGGGTTCGCTTGAATTATTTTGTCAATAAAACGAAGAGTAAGGGTTAGAATATCTGCATTTCGAGAGCATATACGAGCAACTAGTTTACAGTTTTCTAATAAGAGTTTAACATTTCCCACTTCTACTCTTTCTGTAGCCACCAAAAGTTGTTGAACCGTAGAAATACCTCCTTTTAAATTGCCATCTCGTGTTATGAGAGTGCAAGCCTTTATTCGGAGTGCAGCTACGTTGGTTGGCTCCAAATTAATTACACGCAGAGCCGTTTCGTAGGATTGATCCCAGTTGAGTGCAGCAAGTTGAGTTTCCATTTTTACTATTAATGGTATATTTAGCTGGGGATATCTAATTGAAAGCTTTATGAGAAAATTTATGGCATTTTCAAATAGACCGCGCAATTGAAAACAACGAACCAATGCCAGAGTGGCGTCAATATTTTTCCCATGTGTAAGAATATTTTCTAATTTACGTATAATATTTCCATTTATCTCATTTTTTGTCAAATATGTATTAATCCATGTTTGCAATATTATTGAATATTCGTGATCATTATCAATTTGTAAACCTTTGTTAACGTAAATATCGGCATCACGAAAATTTTTAGCCAAAAAGAGGAATAAACTGGCATTGTAAAAAGCGTTAGTACCGGCTTTGTTGTAGGATTCATCTAATCGCTGTTGTAAGTTTTGAATGGCTTCGTTGTCAACTGCACTGCAACGCTTATGTGCATACAGTAAAGCCATAATAGCTGCAATTCCAAGTTCATCATCGCTCTTAAGTGGATTTAATTCTCGTATACCTTCTTGAATCCTGTTGCCTAACACCAATGCCATACCATTGTACAGTCGAAAAGTGAAATGATTCGGATATTTTGATAATCCATCTAAAGCCGTTTTCTGCATGGTATGGAAAAGTCCCGAACGGCCATAGTATAACAAGAGGCTCTCGAAATCTTGAATATCCATTATACTTACAAGCACACAAACCCCATATGTTTAAAAAATAGACTTTGTAATGAATGAAGCATATAACGTTTATTCTTTAATGTCCTTTAGATATTGTTGAGCATATTTGGATACGTAGGATTGAACGAATTCGCAATGTATTTCTAGTTGCAAGTCATTTTGGGAAACAAAATCCAAAGCTTCCTGCAAAGCATAGATGAGAATTATTAATAAAAGTTACAGAATTGGACGTAAACAATAAATGTTATAAGTGTGCAAACTAAATTTCTTCAGCAATCCTTCTGTAAAAGTCCTCATGATTATGATGGCATGGCGACATTAATACTGGAAATTTGTTTATTCTTTTTTCTTATTAAGAACATTTTAATGTGTTAATAACCTCTATCATTAAAAAAGTAGCACTTTTGAAAATATGGTTCCAGAATTTGAAGAATACCGAATATAAGGAGAAACTGTTGTATGGGGGCTATAGGAATACATAGACCTGTATAGATATTTTTGTGGTACATATTAAGAACTTCAAAAACCAACTTTGAAACAATTCCGCTAAAAAACGTGGCTGAAATCATCAAAACCCGAATATAGCGTAACGTTGATCCCTGAGTGTCTCAAAGAATATCAGGTTTAGTTATCAAGTTATTACAATGGTACGGAAACCAATCCCAAGTCTTCCTCAAAATCCTCAAATTAAACTAAATTCTAATAATTTAATTTCTTATCATTCAGTAAGATTTTTCAAATCTGACAAATACGAAGCAAATGGAAATTTGATGAAAGTATACAATAAAAACATAATTGCGACTTTCAGATGGCACGCTTGCCACAGCGTTTCCTCCGAAACAGCCTAATGCAATCGAAGTCCTAAATAAATCGGCCGTCAAACCATTTGATGTTGATGGTCGATACACAATATTCAATGCAAGAAACGCCATCGCCAAGCCCTACAACATATATTCTGCACAATCTCACGGCAGCGGGTTCTACGATTTCGGCCAGCGGCTGCCAACCCAGCACTCCACCGCAGTCTCCAAAACAGCAACCAACACCGCAGCACCTAACGCCATATGTTGCTGTTCCAACTCCGGATTGTGCATTATTCTTGCAATTCAATTGCAACGGACTTCAAGGCAAAATAAATGAGATAGTGGAGTTTATGAGTCAGTGGAATTTTAAGATCGCAGCGGTGCAGGAAACCAAGCTGAAAATTGCAGCCTACAACGTTATTATGGTTACAACGTACTAAGAAAGGATCGCACCAGAAGTGGAGGTGGGGGGTTAGCGTTCCTGTCACACTATTCTGTTCAGTACAGACCCATCTCTTTTAAGCTAGTCTCTAGTGACCCATACATGGAATGTTACGAGGATGCCCCACAGTTCGCCAGACATAACCATAGTGTCACCCGATCTGATAAATGACGTGACTTGGCAACCCGTCACTTCTCTTGGCTCAGACCATCTCCCGATAATCGTCTCCATAAGCAGGTAGCCCGATTTCATAACCTCTGAACGCCGCACTTTCCTTAACCATGGGAAAGCTCACTGGCCAGAGTTCAGAGAATTCACCAACCGTCGCTTCAGAGAACTGCCCAACCCTTCTAATGTTCGGGTAGCAGAAAGGATTTTCCGAAACATCATCAAATCTGCAGCAGCTCGCTATATACCTACTGGTCGAATACCCGAGATAAGACCAAACTTCCCAGCAGAGGCAGCGGGATTAGCAAACGAGCGTAGTGATATCCGTCGTACCAACCCTACTGATCCTAGAATCAGTGATTTGACAGTGGAAGTCAACCGGTTGGTACAGGAGCATAAGAGGAAAAAGTGGCTAGACCATCTGAAGTGTTGCAACATTGGAACCGATATGAGTAATCTGTGGGTAACGGTTATGTCGCTCTCGAATCCTGGAAAAAAGGATGATAGGACCTCAGTCACTTTTAACGACGTAACGGTGACTGATCCGAAGAGGTGCCCGGAATATTTTAGCGATAGGGCGAAGCGAAGAGTACTACGTCGTATCATATCTCTTCCCGCCGAGGAGGAACCACCACAGTTTACGATGGGTGATGTTGCAAATGTCATCCGTAACGCTAAGTAATGTTTAAGCAGCTGAATACGTCGGGAGTCGAGTACTTAACGAAAGTTCTCAATTTGTCGCTAGCCACCCACATAGTGCCCGAAATCTGGAAAATGGGCCGGGTGGTCCCGCTACTGAAACCAGGCAAGGATGCCAGTAAAGGCGAATCGTACAGGCCGGTTTCGCTTTTGTCGCCAGTAGCTAAGACTCTTGAGGCTTTACTCCTCCCCAGCATTAGAGGATTTCGTCCACAACATAGTACCACAACAGCATTACACGCCATTTCCACACATATTAGTAGAGGACTGAACCAGAACAGGCCGTGTGACAGAACAGTGTTGGTAGCCCTTGACCTATCAAAGGCATTTGATACTGTCAATCATGCCACACTGTTTGAGGACGTGCAGAGAACTACCCTCCGGCCAAGTTTGAAACGATGGATAATCAACTATATGTGTGGATGCCAGTCGTATGTGGAATTCCGGAACAAGAACTCCAAAGCCCGTAGAGTAAAACAGGGAGTTCCCCAAGGTGGGGTGATATCTCCGGAACTGTTTCACCTCTACCTTTCCGGAATTCCTCGCCCTCCAGACGGTATTGAGATCGTAACGTATGCGGATGATTGTACGATCATGGCGTCGGGTCCAGTGGTCGATGACATATGCGAAAGGCTGAACCCCTATCTCGCGGAACTTGCCTCATACTTCCACGTGAGGAATATGAAAATATCCGCCACGAAATCAACGGCCTCACTCTTTACGACATGGTCTGCGGAGATGAGAACACAGCTGAATGGTCAGGTCGAGGGGAATCTAATACCGACCACGAACTACCCCAAGATTCTTGGGGTCACGTTCGACAGCATGTTCAAGTCGTCCGCGCAAGCTACAGCTATCTGCGACAAGATGAAAAGTAGGAACAAGGTCCTCAAGGCGCTAGCCGACAGCTCTTGGGGTGCGGACAAAGAAACCCGCGAATAATAGTGCTACGCAGTGGAAGCATATCCAGACCTGCCAGAACGCTGCCCTGAGAACTGAGACAGGGTGCATTCTCATGTCACCAGTGGACCATCTACATGAGAAAGCGAATGTCCTTCCCTTACGTCAGCATATGCTTTCATTGCAGTACCTGCTTGGATGTTACCGTGAGAGTCATCCCAACCATCATATGGTGGATAAATCTCCCCCACTCAGGCGTGTCAGCAAGGACATACATGATCTAGAGAGGGTGATCCAGCGCTACAAGAGAGAACCTCTAGATCAAGAAGCCTATCAGGCAGGTCTGAGTGGCATTCACACCGATGCCGTCGCGGATGCTATTAGCAGTTATAAAGTAAATGCCGTCCTCGGAGTCCACCCCCCATCCATTGCAGCTGAAGAACGTCAGCTGCCTAGACAAACAAGGGTAGTTTTGGCGCAATTACGTTCAGGATGGTGTAGTCGTCTCAATTCGTATTGGGCACGAATTGATGAAGATGCCCGGCGTGCGATACAGGCCCGCACAATACGCTACACCTCTTTAATTGCACAGCCAAACCTACCCAAATCACTCCAGAAAATCTCTGGCTACAGCCCGTTAAATTAGCCGAGTTTCTAAACCGGGAGCTGGAACCATATTACCAGAACGCAAACACATGCATGTACTACTGCTTCGACAACAACAACATATATTCTGCAAGCCAAGAATAGAAACCAACATAGACTAATAAAATCCTTTACAAAACTTAGGGACGAGTGCATGTAGGTATGTATTCGGGAGAACTTAACTTAGAAAAAATGAAATCACAACCAATCCTAAAAATACTTCAGAAACTAACCCTTGCCGAAAGAGAAAAAATCATCACTAGCCGAAGTTTACAGTACTGTATTTTAATATTCAGATGTACATACAGTTTTGTAAACAATCAATGGTAGACACAGAAGTCGCAAATAACCAGGGATTCCAATAATAGAACTGCTTTGGATGATTTATCAAAAATCTAAAAGAAAATTCAGTAAGTAAATGTCAAAATTAGTGGAATTTTATTTTTTTCGGAGACCTATAAAATATGTAATTACTAAGAAATTGAACTTGCCAAATCAAACCAATTGGTTTCACAAAATGTAAGCAATAGAACATTATTATCGAACGATGTTCAGAGAGCCTAGAAAGTCTAAAAAAAAACAAAATGTGTGGGGTAAATTTGAATCTAGATTGCTGTAAAGAAGTAAAAACTCGCATTTCCGGGATTCCTTTGGAATGACATATAAGTGATTTACCCCAGCAGTAAAGAGAATGCCAAAATACGCTGTGCCCTTGAGTAAATTTAAACGAATACGTCAGATCAACTATTGAAACTATACGTTGCAATAAAGTTTCAGAAATTGTAGAGTTGGACAAAAGCAATGGCGGCTGTTCTCCCAAAACACAGATGACAAAGGAACCAGGTCTGTATTTCCAGTAAAATATAATCTAGGACATAGGTGGAAATTTACTGCCCGAAGTATGAACAGATTGATACGATTGTGGAGGAAATTAGTCGCAACTCCAATTATCTATACCTCAAAAGAGCGAGGGAAATGAAATTCTATGTAGAGAATTTACGGTAGTAAGGAAACATACGCAGAAAAAATTATGTGTCTATAAATTAAAATGGATTTAAAAGATTATTAAAAAAAACTGGCAAATTAAGATCCAAGTCAAGTAAACCCCGTGAATATTTCGTAAAACACAGCCTAAACCATATAAACCCTAAACCATTCAAAGTATAAAGCGAAATGATGGGACATGGGTCAACTCGGGACACTGGACGTTCTAACGGCCAACCACTTCCCTGGTTGCAAGAATAAGATTGCTGTGGGCAACCATTAACACCTTTCCCACGTAATACAGCAGAAGATGAGAGGCTGATGGAAAGGTTAACCAGCTTTCCAAGCTTTCATCCGAGAACAAAAATTTTCTACTGTTAAAATCCCCTGGTCCTGATGGCATAATACTGGCAATGTTACAAAATGCATCTGAGTCGTGCTAAGAGCCGCGTCCTTAATGACAACCGGAAGCGGGAGGATGACACTTTTCGCAGTTTGGTCATGCATAAGCACTAAAGATGATAAAATTAGTGATTATATGT